TCTTATTATCAAGCAAGAGAATAGAATACAATTTTGTTTGGACATTATTGAATTAATTGATTGGAAGTGTATCATAAAAAGTGCTCTTTACTTTTGAGATAATTAAAAGTATGGGGAGGTCAGTTTTTTTCCATTTTATGTTCATGTGGACTATAGTCACAAAGTATATATCAGCAGAGCTTCAGCCGTCTTACTAATGTACTGTTTTGTTAAGGTTTGTACATGGAATTTGACAAATTTCGATGTGCAAGTCTGAAAGAACATCTGTTTATTCTGAAGCACCACATACTGTAGCACAGGCAACAAATGAGCATAGCTACTACAGATTACATTTACATGTCATTTTTACATCAGTCTCTTTTGTAATTGTTCATACAGTTGTTCATTCTCAAAAGCTGATATCTTAGTCAGCCTGATTAAATGTGTAGGCTGAGACATCATCTTCTAAACACCAATCAACTCTTTGGACAGATGTCCATTAACATGTACCTAGACAGAAATCCCTGCTGTAAATAATCCTAGAATTACTTTGCAGACCACCAGCTATTTAGTATTTAGTGACTGAATTTCCCATTACATCATGACAATCCTTAGTTGACTGCATGTCGTTCAAATGTTAACATTCCTGTGCTGAAGCATCCCACAACCATATACTGTACTGTACAGATGGACTGTTGTCTTGATACTGTGGATACCTGGATTTGTTTGAAAAAAAAATACAAGTTTGTATGACGATATGGGTACACATCTGTATGAGGCATTGCATTAAAAATATTTAAATTGTAAGGAGTTAAGGAAAACTTCCTCACTTCTCATTTCAGCACAAATAATTTGTTATGTTGGCTTTGCATGCCCAAAACAAGCATGAACAGTTATCTTTGGCTTCATTTGAACTGAATCACAATTCAAATGACTGAATTCAATTCAATTCACAATTCAACTGCTACTGTACATATCAGAATATCAACTGCATTGAAGATTTTACCTCTGCCTTCTACCACTGCCTTCATGACCAGCTAGTTACCAAAGGTAGTAGTTGTTTGTAAAACTCTTTGTTCATGGTATACAGTTGCTTCCAACAGATTCTCTAATATATATATATATTTAAAAATAGCTTAGCAATCAAATACTTATTGTGTACCTGGTGTGGCCTTTTTCAATTTCAGGGCTGTCATTTAAATATTGCAAGTGTTTGTATGAACAATGATTGTAAGCTATTTCTCCCTGAATTACCAAATTCAGACACTGATCAACTGATATATTTTATGATATACTGTAAATGTTCTGAAATTGCATCATGCTGGCTTACAGGGAATATAAAAAATATTAATTGCTTTTGTATAGAGGTTTTCACGACAAAGAACCCAAAAAAACTTTTTACGTAGGAAGGTACCCTCTTCATCAACCACTTATCACCCATTAGCCTGTCCCATTCACAAACAGTAATAGCCTAGCCTACCATATACTGTATAAACAAACATCTTGTACAGTCTTGAACTGTTGTTATATCATGAGGCTTGTAACAGTCCTAGTCAAATAAACTTAGAAAGTGAAGCAGACATTGAATATCTTAATGTCAAAAAGTCACCTGAATAAACTAAAACTGGGATAGCTAACGGTTTATAAGTGCATATAATATATAAATATAAATAAAACACATTCATCTTCATTAACCATTTTACCTTTAGAGGGCTGTGGTGAGCACGTGCACAAAAACAGTGTGACAGAGAGAGACCATGCAGACTCCACACAGACAACCCGGTTTGAATCCAGGATCCTTGAACTGTAAAGTGATAGTTCAACCCATTGAGATGTCCTGTAATATGTATTATTTACTTTTATTCTTCACATCTTAACTCAAATGTACAGTATGCTGCATTTAAACACATCACGAAAACATCCATTCAATTTCCGAGAAGCACGCAGTAAAAACGTCAGCTGATGATTTCCGACTTTCATCATTAACACAGCTGGTCATTGGCAATAACATTAAAATTTCATTGGATTCTTTACACTAGTCCGCATGTGCCCTGTTGCTATCAATGGTTTTAAATAATAGACCGACAGTGAGTGTCCCTCGTCTTTGGTGACTGTTTAATAATAAACAGGGTTGCACATGTTCGCAGTGTTCAGCTGGACTATAAATATTACATCATGTGTATTATCAGATAAAAGAAAAATCGATGAGGCAAGAACTACTTTCTAACGCACCAACTAAAAATAAAATAGTTATAATTTCTACTGCTGCGACAACCGTATGGAGTGTGACTTTAAGAAGGTACTTTAATAAGAGATGAGGCTCACGTTGTCAGAATGACATCACCACTGACTCTTCTAGCTAACAGAGTCCATTGTAAAGCCTACATTACACGGTTTTATTGTAAAGGGTAAAAAAAACAAAACATTTTTCATTTCTCGAGTTGGGG